GAGGGCCTTAAGGTTGTTGTCGCGCGACAGTCTCTGTAAAAAGTTTATCCGCTGTAAAACGGGCCAGTTTAGAACACAATCTTTTAGCGGTATATAGTCTCACTTGATTGATTGCATTGTGCATGGATAGCTAAAGCATAACTATATATTTTCCATATTAACTATTTTCAATTATATAAATTTATGAATTTCCGATAATTATATTTCGTGAACCAAACGGTCAATCGATTTGATTTTTTTTTCTGTATTTCCTCCCACGATGTATATTCCACATTTTTTTTTATTTCTGAAACTGTGTAGCCGTTGATTTTTAAAAAATTCTAATCGGCAAAACTCCATTTAAACACGTGTTAAATCACTCGAATTTCAAAAATTTATATCTCAAGTTCAAAACGGTCAATTGCAAACGGAAAAGGCTCATTTTGTTGCTAATTTTTCAAACTATTCACCATAAAATTTTTAACGAAAACTGTCGAAAAAAAATTCTACGCGACAACAACCTTAAGACAATTTCAGAAATTATATCTTCATTGATTGAGGCATGAAGTTAAAATAATTGCTGAACCGTGGCAAAATGACAATTATATACATAACATATGTTATAGTCATTTCTTCCAACATCCTTTGATATTTCTGGATATTAATCCCAATAGAAAATTTCTCAGCATAAAATACAGATAAATGAATGAATAATAGATGCAAATAAATTTTACGTGAATTTAAGACTTGAAAAATTCCAACGATTTCCTTCCATGAAATTTCAAGAGTCATTCAGTAACAAGTTTATCAAAGGGGAAAAAGAATGAAAGGCAAGTTATCGAATCTCGCGTCTGCATAAAAGGATAATAATAATAAAAATACCTGAGACTCCGAAGTATTCGTAATTTGTCCTCTAAGCCCCCACATTTGTTGGAATTGCACTCGCATTTCATTGAATGTCTCGGTAATAACAGCGATGAAAACATTCTTAACGAGCCAAGCGAGGAAGAATATCATTGTGCTGAAGTACAGAATTGCTCGCCAAGCGGGAAGACTATCGATTGCTCTATACATAATGAAAACCCAGCCCTCCTGAGACGCTGCTTGATAAACCGTGAAGATGCTGATGACTGAAAAATCCACACAATAGATAAATACCCCGAATTTTCAGATTAAAGTACTTCCGGGGGATGATAAAAAAAAAAGTATTTCCCAATACTCTTAACGTACAGAACTGATCGAAGCCGTTGAATCCCATGATGTACTTGGATAGCTCCAGCTTCATGCAGGTCATCCCCTCAGGGCATTGATATCCAGACTCCGGATCAGTCGAACAATATGTATCAGGTATTGCTAAACTATTTATAGTTATGTGATTCGGATCTGTTGTGTTCAATACACAGTGATTCGTTAATTCACCGAAAAATTGCACTCCCAATAGACTGTACAGGGACATGAAGAAGCCGAAGAAGAGAGTTACATTGTAGATTTGTTGGCTCGAACGTCTGCAATTATTTTCATTCAGAGATTATACAAATCCTCCTCATTCGACATTTATACGTTCATCTTAACAATGAGTTATTGTGGACAAAAATCACAAGATTCTCCTCATATTTTTTTCCAAAATCCCTCATTATCGAAATTACTTAATTGTTATCCACACGATCAAGTGATAGACAGAGATGACACAAATTTCATATACATCATTTGGAAAATATTTCATATATAAAATACATGGAACCTCGGTGAAAGGCTATGGTAGTCTTTTTAAAAAACATTATGCTAAATCATGAAGTTTCAATTTTCTCTTTCTACACTTGACCATTGAGGTGGAGGTATTTCTGTTTAATTACTTGAAAATTTGATTAATTCTAGCTTTTGGCATTGAAAACTTGAGGAAAACCCTTATAAAACGAATCATGATGAGTGGCCGTGGTGCTCGGATTATGGACGCTGCACTGAACTTTGGGACAAACCCAAGCATCTCGAACATTTGTAAAATTACGGAGAACCAGAGGAAGAGGACCATCGTCGCGTCGAATTGGCACCAGTGGTCTTTCAAATACGCTTTGTCCCTCTGTACAAAACAAATAATTTTCATCAATTTCATTTTAATATGTGAAATATAGAAAAAGAAGAGTAGAAATTAAAAATAAATCAAAATAGAATAAAATGCAGGAAAAATGAAACACGAAAGCTCCTATAAAAAATGCTATTGACCTGTCAGGTTTCTATAGGGTCTGTATTGGATATTCTAGAAGGAAAAGTTTATGCCTGTTGAATTTCTATTTTTTCACATTTTTGTGTCAGAGGATCCGAATAAAAAAAACCTTGAGGAATTTGTGCCCAATAATCCTCACAGAACATCAACAACAAAAATTAAAGAAAAATT